ACAGACAAATATTATGAACAGAGCAAGAGTTAGACATTTATTTTAAACCGTCAATTTTATAAGAAACTAATGAAAATTATTCCAAACAATAATCAGTTTAAGGTTATCATTGTCTGACGATAACAACTGGTATATTTATCGTTATATATATATCGACCCTAATTGCATGTTGTCGTACCCAAAGTGTCATATTTCATGATATGGCTACAAAATTGTGAATTTGATTGACTGTTTTATACTAAGGTAATACTAGTAATATATTATGATCATAATAAGTAAATACATATTCGAACAATCTGATTAAAATCATCATTGACTCATTAGGATCTGATGAGCACCAAAAGGAGGCCTCCTTCTCATGACTTTTCAAACAGTTAATCATCGACGAGTTTTTGCGATTTTGAAAGCGATACAAATTCTATTTGTACAACAATACAGAATATTTGATTTTCACGATTTCGAGTATAAACATAGCGCAGTCCATATAGCCAGCAGGTCATCTGGCTTAACAATTTTGCCAATTAAAGTGGAGTCTTTCATTTGCATTTAATTTCATTTTAATAGCTTCAAACAAAAATCATAGTCGTAGATGTTATTGATGTCTTTGCAAAAATCATTTATTTGTTTTTGTCCACACACAGCGATAGTTTGATACTTCGTGTTATGTCTATCTTTAAAGGACAGTATGATTGCATGACTATAAATAGCTTTCAAGGGAAATCAGAAAACCAATGATGGCTAAAAATAAGGGGTCATTCTGATCTACATGCAATTATCTAATATTCAAAAATGAAAACGCAAACACAATATAACGTTGCTAATTATTCATTTAACAAGTCTATGTTAATAGAAACTTCATCTCATATACACAGATGGTAAACACTTTGAATAACAAAACGAAATGTTTGAAAAATACAATGTACATTAATTTGCGAGGCCTGCACAACCGTTGATCGGCAGAATTTTATTTCAGAATAAATTCAACGAATTCATCACCAAAACATTGAATGATAGATTTTTTAGAACTTCATCTTTCTAAAAATCAAGGTAATACTCCAAACCAACGAAATTTAGGTGGACACCATCCTCATAAAAAACGCCATTTCAATGTCAATTTCTTACTTGATAATATCAAACTTACTTAAAGAACTAAATATGTGGCGACATTATCGATAAATCCTTTTGCGTTCAAGATCCATTGATTCATTATCAAATTTCCCCCATACCCTTCTGGGTAAAATGTCAACACAAATAATACAAACAAATGCCAATGCATCGTAAATGAACGACACTTCCTCCCAAATTGTGAATTAAATCATCACCCCATAATAGATATGTATTAACGATTGAGCAGGTAAAAGTGGATCTTTGCTTCTATTTCCAGTCGTAGCGTGGACCATCGTAGACCTTTAACGCCCCGCCCCTAGCCATGCAATTTTTGCCCGTGTATTCACAAGTTACTCTTTCCAGTTCTTACTGCTTGATGGACTTTCCAGTACGGGAGCGACCCAGTGACCCATATGAATAAACATGGACGAAAAATGTCTCGAAACAAAAATACCTCAAAATTTGTTGAAAAAATGACACAAACTGCTCGAACTTTCTAATAATTCTGATCGAATGTATAATTTGTAACAATCTCTTTTCCATCTACGGATTTTCATTATAATAGCTTTTTCAGGAACTCCTGCTAGATCAGCAGCTCTGTCAATTCTATAACTATGAGTTTTGTACTAAGATTCAACATGTTCAAATGACAAGCGCTTAAAATGCATTTCGACAAAACCACCGGCAATTGGATTCTCGTAACTGGCGAACTATAGTTATGATTGAACAGGGGCCCCTATGTTTTGACCGAATAGAAATAAAGTTAGAAACAATGTAACGAATTTACTGACCATAAATTGTCCTCTTTCCAATGTAAATAGCAGAATAAATTCTTTATGACCCGTCAATCTGTACTGCAGACAAGAACAGAGTGATTGTATTTTTGCACGGGTTTTGTCTTGTATTTATATAACGTACCGAGTACACGATATGCTTGACTAAGAATCTATCGAGCGTAACCTACAAAATAAAGCAGGTAGTTCATTAAGCTGATGGAGCAATATAGTAGATGATTAATATTTACAGCGGTCGATGTTTTCTAATTAAAATAATAGTAAATGTAATTATCTTTTAAAATAGCAAAATAATTAATATTATTTTACCATCACCGTTGACATTTTAATGAGCTCGTGATCCATATGAAATTCTTATAAAAGGGAACAATGGAAACAAAACAAATAGTTGAAAATCTCAGTCTCGGTTTTATTAGATACAATGTTTTTTATGCAAGAGCTATTTCTGCAGCTTTAGAAGATTAAATTATGCCGGGAAATGTTTAATGAATATGCAGAATTGCTTTGTTATCGGCTATTTTCGTCCAGCAAGATAAACTCTTATTGATAAACTATAATCGAAGAGGTGTTACGAAGTAACAAAAGCAGCAAAGTTCTTAACATGGTTCACGTGCTTGGGGATATTGTAGCTTTAACGTGTTTACTGTTACTTTTTTTCTAAACTTTAAATAATAAAACGCTATATAAAGATTATTAATTAAATTCATAAAGATTAAACGATTGAACAGCAAATGAATCATTATGATTGTTTTTAGTGTACATTATATATGATATTTTCGAATTTTTCATTTTACAGATTTATTCACCTCGACGTTAATTTTTCGTGTAAGTAAAGTCTTATTTTCAAGCGGAGAATGCGCATTATAATATTGTAGAGTGGTTCTAACGATATTAGGCTTTTACTTCAATTGATACACAAAAATGGATGTCGCCAGCAATCATTTACAACACATTGGAGACGTCTGATGACCCAGGTACCCCAATCGTTCTTTATTTCAAGCATGTACGGATTATTTACCTAACACACTACATAATTGACAAATGAAGTGCACAAGACCTGTTTAAATCATTGAATAATATTTTTGTTGCATGACTTATATTCGTGATTTACATTGTTTCGCTTTTCTCATTATTGTGTTAAACTAACCTATTAAATCATTTGCAATGAGGTTAATGTTAAATGAATAGAAAATTGATTTTATTAAAGATCACGTTTCACTTAAGACATTGATACGTATAACGAAACTATATTATTTATGCTATTGGCCATATACCTAAGGGTATGTATGTTATATTTTGTTTACTTCGTTTTGAAAGGTTTATAACTTTGCTGCAATAACAAATTGCAAATAATTGTTCTAAAAACTAAAATGAATGGCTCGTGTTTGATGAAGAAAAAATATAAAAGAAAAAATGAGGAACTTAAATTTGGTTAGTAAAATAAAGTTTCATATTTACTCAATTTTGTCATTCAAGTAAAAGATTTTATATTATATTTACATTTTCTGAAATAAATATATGAGTAATGACTTTAATATTTTGAAATTACATTTTATACTGTACGTAGTGTAGGGTATATGTACATACTAGTGAAAAAATAAAAGTATTTGTCCAAACATCACAATGGCTGAAGGTTAGATATTTTGAAAGAAATCTTTTTGTTGATCAAATTTTAGCAATCGCAATTGGTACCGGGCAATAATCGGGGATTACCCTTAAATAAACAAAGTTTATATTCAGTTTGATATGCCAACGAGTTTGATATCAGTTGAATTGTCATGGATAACACGTCCTCTTAAAACAATTGGTAGATTTTTAACCAACTTCACAGGAAGCCCTCTACAGAAATTATAGTTATACCAATCTAATGCATAGGAATTTTAAATCAATTATAAATTGGTATATAGGTTATCTCTATTTTCCTTAAGAAATGCTCAGTATTTAGATATATGGCATGTAAAGTCATCTCATAAACGTCTTAAACTTACAGTGAAATAAATCATGACCCTGGGGTAGAAAATAGACACGCTCTTGGGGTTACATATTTCATGAACTGTAAAAGAGATGAAAATCTGGTCAATATTTTTTACACGACTGCAATTTCTAAAGCTAAAATTTTGGCATGTAGCATTGCCTCGAGGACCTCTTCAGAAGTTACCAAATTTCTGAAGATATTTAATAATTTTTCTATAGTAATATTATAATTTATGCAAAAGTGGTATAATATTTTATGGATTGTTTTACTTTTTATCCAGAAAAATTATAATTCCCTGGTAGAAAGAAATACTATACACATTCTGTAGAAAAAATTAACCAGTCCTAGAGAAATATTTTACTTGTCCCTCGGAAGTATTATTATTGTTTTGTAGAAATATACATATTTTGTAGAATTGTTATAAATGTTCTGTCTAAATATTTTACTTGTTCTGAAAAAAATATGTTCTGTAAACATATCATACATATCCTGTAGAAATAAAATACCTGTCCTTTAGTTATATTATGTTTGTCCTGTAGAAATACACGTTCTGTATTAATATCAAACTTGTCATGAAGAAATATATTACCTGTTCTATAGAAATAATATACTTATCCTGTAGAAATGTTCAATACAAGTTAAATATTACTACAGAACAAGTATTATATCTGTACAAGACATGTATGATATTTCTACATAACATGTATAATATTTCTACAGGACAAGTATAATATTTTTACAGAACAAGCCTTAAATAATTATGCTTGTTCTGTAAAAATATTATATTTGTTCTGTAGAAACGCTGTTAAAAGTGATATATGCTACACCTTGCTCTTATTTCAATGTAACATGTTATAAAGGTAGAAGTAAAGTAATACCGATTTATTTTACAGATGATATATACCATTTGTATTTTTCAACTGGTTTACAAGTCGACAGGAGGTAAGTGTTTTGTTTGTTTGATAAAAAATGAAGGATTTGGTATAAATGGCATATAACAGCGCCGTCGCCAAACTGAGACAAACTCCTCTGTTAAATTAAAAAAGTTAACAAACATTTTAGGCAGAAAGATCAGTCTTGATAATAAAAAAATAAATAATTGAAAAGCCTACAATAAAAGTAGAATGGACTCGAAAATCTATGAAGGATTTTTACTATACACATGTCTACGTGATAATTTTAAAGCTGGAATAACTTTATTTTAAATTATAGAAGTCGATGAACAATGTAAAGTAGATTGTGCATGCTGTAGAGAACGAAAATGTGGACCAGGGCAATATTTTTACTATCGCGAATGCACTCTAGGCTGTATAGATGGTTATAGAGGTTCTCGCTGCTACATACGATGTTCACACAACTGTACAAAATGCGCTAATCATGAAGATACGTGTACTGCCTGCTATGATGGCTATTATCCCGGCTTTGCAAAAGACTGCAAATCACAATGTTTACCCGGATGTAAAACATGCACGTCAGGAACCACGTGTACATCATGCAAAGAGGGATATGATAACGCCGTTGGTCAAAATGATTGTAGTATTCGTACCTGTCCTGAAAATTGTAATTGTGAAAATAATCAGTGTGTGTCATGTAAGGACGGATATTACGATACCAGTAATTTATGTGATAGTTTATGTCCAAGTAACTGTATCACGTGTTTGTCGAATACTGATTGTGGATCGTGTAAGGATGGTTATTATAAAGGTTACCAGAACGACAAAATTTATCACCCTTTGTTGAACGACTGTACATACAAATGCCGGAGTAACTGTGTACGATGCTTGTCCTATAACAGTTGCTTGGTTTGCAAAACTGGTCTCTATGGACCAAACTGTGAGAAAACTTGTTCGACTGGTTGTATGTCAAACACTTGCGATATATTAACTGGAAACTGTGAATGTTTACCTTATTTTGCTGGGGTAAGATGTGATAAATGTAAAACCGGAACATATGGAAATAATTGCGATCAACAGTGTCCTGTAGTGTGTAAAGGTAACGTGTGTGAAAAGGAATCCGGATATTGTACAGACGGATGTACAATAGACACGATCATTGGTGACAAATGTGACATATGTTCAACAGGCTGGTATGGACAGTACTGTAACATATCTTGTTCTGTTGGCTGTAAAAATCAGCAATGCGAGAAAATTAATGGTGAATGCTCCTATGGATGTCTTGATAACTTTGAAGGAGGACAGTGCAATATCTGCATACCTGGCAAGTTTGGAGATTTATGCAACCGTCACTGTCCAGTCAAATGTGACAGGAACGGCTGCTTGAAAGACTCTGGCAATTGTAGTATTTGCAATGATAACTTTTCTGGAGGGAAATGCGAAAAATGTGCTGTTAGTTTTTATGGTTCACGTTGCTCTGAAAGATGCCCGTCTAATTGTTGGAACAGTCTCTGTGATAGAGATACAGGCAAGTGCTCTGATGGCTGTGTAGATCATTATTCTGGTGACAGATGTTGCATAAATAATAGCAACTGTATTACATGTTTGTCAGATTCTAGCTGTGTGCAATGTAAGTCTGGATACTTTAATGACCAATGTGACAAACAATGCCCGACGAACTGTCTTAAGTCATGTCATATCGAAACAGGTTTTTGTGTCAATTGTAAAGGTAACTTTTATGGTGATAATTGCAACTTTTCGTGTGCCTCTACATGCAATGTACAAACAAATGCAGGTGGAAGTATATGTCAGCAGACAGATGGTAAATGTCTGTACGGGTGTGTTGATGGTTTTCATGGTTTACAGTGTTCTGAGAAATGTTCTGTTTATTGCAACGATGCACTTTGTGACCAAATCACTGGCAAATGTTCAAAAGGTTGCAAAATTAATATTTGCACTCTGGGGTCAGGTAAGCTATAATCAATATTTCAAATTAAATTCAATACATCTTATATTCTTTTAAAAGCCTCAAATCAGATCGAGTCTGTAATTTTTCTGAAATATTATTGTTGATAGTGCTTCCGAGTGATCAAAATTGTTTAGCGAAGTATTATAATAACGTCAATGTCATATTTATGACGCCTCTGTAAAATTGTAATGATGATAGTGAAGAGGGATACTGCTGCTGCCGCTGCTACTGCTGAGGATAATGCTGATGCTAATGATTTGTTTAAAGATGTTTAATGATAATAATAATTAAACTTACTGTGACAACAATTAAAACGTGTCCATTTATAGAATATATGTATGCAATATGTGAAAACCATATTAATGCTAGACATATATGTCTTGATATATTTATAGAGATACTTTATGTATAAACTTTTAAAAACGTCTTTTATTATACCTACGTAGAACACTTTAAATTGTACGCTCAGATGTTTGTGTTATTTACAGAATGATGTTATTTTACAAAATAATATTTTAGATTCAAGATCCTCAGAACAGTCAGCTGTTTTATTACTTGGAACAAGTCTAATTGTGTCAGTTGTTGCTAACATTATATTTGTGGTTACGTTTATTTGCTGGAAATGTCGTAAAAGGTAAAGGTTGTTAATATATTCAACTAAATTAAAGTCAAAGTTAGAAATAAAATAACATCAAAGTTCAAAAAGCTCTTAAATTACAAACAAAAGAATATTTTTTGAATTACGATTGTGCATTGACACGACAATTATTAAAATCAGTGCGGAAATTTATAAGCAAAATCGCTTGCAAAACGTTACTCTTATGTTCTTACCTTGGAAGATATTTGCATTTCTGCTTATCCCTGTATTTCATTAAAATACTGTAATACGTTTAAATAATTTGAAAATAATTTTCATATTTGTGTAACAATGATATTTTTATGTTATAATATAATATGTGTCATCAGTGGGTGGTTCATAATAACTGATGATAACATTACTATATACTGTACACAGTTGTGTACATTATATTCTTGCATAAAGACAAGCTTATCTACTGCTTATGCGGTGCCAGAAAAAACCTGTCTTACACATCCCCATGCAAGACATTAACACACACCTTTAATGAATGAACTGCGTTTTTAGGATGACGTAATTTTGCAGTTTTAAATAAATTAATACGCTGCTATTAGAAACAACAAGTGCTGACTGGAAATAAACTATCCAATTTTGCTAAGCACCATAAGTTAACTTTTATATTTTCAAAAGTATAAAACAGATTTCTTTCCAATTGTTGAAAATTCTGATTCAGCAATGCTTTGAGATAGTCCCCTTCATATGAATCAGTGTAGACTAATCCGTTACAACTCGTCTAGGTAGCATGGAAAGCATACACCCTATGTTTTCATGTTTTGATTGGGTGTACAATCACATGTGGCTTACAATTCTTACATCTATCACATCCATGGCGAATGCTAATATAAGTCGGCATTTTAGAGGTTGTAGGAATAGTGCAGCAAGGGTCACCTTCCGCAATACAGTGCTTGCTGTACACCACACCGTCATCACCAGAGCCTGGGAGAGATACCGGCTACATGGTACATTCACCAGGAGGGATGCTGGAGGTCGGTTATGGGTCACAACACAAGCTCAGGATCTGTTTTTGGTCGTTCAGAGTGCAAGGTTTTCGGCAACAACTTCTCTTCAAAATGACCTTGCTTATGCTGCGGGAGTCCGTGTTTCCACGCAGACGTTACGTTGAAGGCTGAAGGCGTGTAATTTGCAGTCGAAAAAACCTTTCATACGTATTCTATTGGCGCGTCGATATCGCAAGGCCCGTTTGGAATCGACCATGGTGAAAGCACGGTGGACCATGCAACACTTGAGACAATTTCTGTTCACTGATGAAACCAGGTTCTACCTAGACTTCACAAATATGCGCGCTAGAGTCTGAAAAAGACGAGGTGTACGGTTTCGGGCTTCAAATATTGCTGATCATGACCGCTTCGGAGGTGGGTCAGTCAAAGTGAGTTGGCATCAGCTGGGATGGAAGAACCGAACTGGTTGTGCTAAATGGAGGCACATTGACAGGTCACCGATACATAGAAGACATCTTAGACAACCAGGTTAGGTTGTATGCTAGAACAGTCGGCGATCAGTTCATTCTAATGGATGATAATGCTCGCCCCCCATAGGCAAGGGTGGTCCAGGACTACCTAGAGAGGGAATATATTGAGCGCATGGACTGGCCAATACGCTCACCTGACTTTAAGCCAATAGAACAGATGTGGGATGAGCTGCAGGTTATAATTTCAGCCCATCAGCTGCAACCCAGAACCATCACATGAAGGAGCTTGGAGCCATATTGGTCCAAGAATGGACAGCCATACCCATTAGAACGATAAGAAACCTCAAAGAGAGATGAGAAGGCGCTGCCAAGCTGTCATTAAAATTCACGGGTCAAGCACACGGTATTAAGTCTAAAACTGTAAATAATCAAAAAACAACAACAGTTTTACAAATTTGAAAAACACGCTGCATGTTTCGAAATCTTCGAAAATGTTGATCATCCTCTTCTTTAGCACCAAATCAGTGTTAAACTCATTTATAGGGTCAAATTCGTCCTCCAGCTGGATTGATAAAACAGAACAGTAAATCAACATTTAACACCTTTCGCACGGCTTTAAAAATAATTTGATAAAATATTCACATCCAAACATACGGTGTTTGGCAAAAGTTGAGTAGTATATTATTTTTTTGTAATTCCTATCGGAGATACGATTGATGTAGTGTAACAGAAAAAGAAAATCAAAGCACAGAAGGCGCTGAATTTGTTTGGGTCTAAGAATGTCAGAAAGATGAAGGTTGTGAGATAAAATACCAATTTGTTTGTAAAGTGTCACCAGTCTGTTTCCAGTGTTATAACTATAGTAAATTGGCTATAAGACTAATTGCAACACTGATATTCATTTCAATGTTTATTTGGCTTAATCAATTAAAAAAAAAAACAAATAAAACATGAGTTTTTGGTCTGACGACCGAAACAATTAAAAACAGGCTGTCGTTACAGACAGAAACATTTAGCTTTGGGATAAGCGGTAACGAGGCTTAATTTCGGGTTAATGTTTATCGGTAACTCGGCAGAGCCTTGATACCGTCGTACAAAATACACTCGGGCTAAATATTCCGGTCTGAACCGGCAGTCGGAATCAGACTCAAATTAAGATTTATCAATATTGTAAGTTCCGAAAAGGATTATTTATAAAGCTATTTCGGAATTTAACATTTCATGTAAATAAAGGGAGGAAATTATAAATTTATTTTCTATAAAGTCTATGTCAAATTTTTCATTAAGAAATAAATGCATATATTTAAATGATTACATTTAATGTGCAAACATATTTGCAGAACATATTTTACATAACCTCCGATGTTTGTAAAATTGTTTTATAAGCATAATCTTTTACATACATAAAATTTCAGTTAAATGTGGTTTACAACCTCAATTATAATATACAGGATCTTTGAAACTACCATGCTAGATATGTAAATATAGTAGACCAGCCATTTTTGATCATTGTGATATACATTTGTATCTCAAACAAGAGATTCCTCAGATCAGTTTTATTTATTTATTTTTCTTTTGCTCTTAGAAATTGATTTCGTTAGGTGATTTAAGACACTATGTTAGGGCGTCCGTAGCCGAGTGGTTAAGGTCGTTGACTTCAAATCACTTGCCCCTCACCGCTGTGGGTTCAAATCCCGACAGGGACTTTGGATTCTTTCATGTGAGGAAGCTATCCAGCTAGCTTACGGAACGTCGGTGGTTCTACTCAGGTGCCCGTTCGTGCCTGAAATAATGCACGGAAGGGCACCTGAGGTCTTCCTCCACCCGTAAAGCTGGAACGTCGCGATATGACCTATACTGTGTCGATGTGACGTAAAACCCAAAACAAACAAAGACACTATGTCAATAAAAGCAAATACACCATAAACTTTAGATCTGGTTTTCAATTCCGCGCAATTGAAATTAAGATCAAAGTATTGCCTTTAGCAAATTGAATATAAATATCAATATAAACTAATAGTAAAATTAATACTTTTTATTAATAACCAGTAAAATAACCTTTAAGAAATGAGTCTAACATGTTATTTCATTTGCATATAAGGGACAATCATGACAAGACCAAGGGACCTCTTTTTGAAAATTCTGGTAAATATATTTGTTTTGTCTCACTAATATTTTTTTACATTCAGGAATTTCACTTTCTTCAATTCTTATGTTATGCCAATCAGTTTCTAATTAAATGAATCCGGAACAAGATCATATTATGTTTTAAAAAGCATACTAAGTATTTATCAAAATTAACTTTTCTGAACAAATGGTTAATTATTTAGATTACATACAATTTCAATTGAAGTAATTGTTTATTGCATTTTGTCCTACGATTTTTATTTGTGGCGATATCGTATTATAAACAGACCAATAGATAAGGTAGTAACATAATTATTTAAATCGTTTAAGGTATTGAACTGGAATGTGGAAATTCAGCACATGCTGGCAATATCAGCAATAATAGCAGTGATCAAGGTATTTCCTTGTTTTCTTATTTAATAGACTTTATCTTTATTGTTTTTCATTTATAATGTATTGAAATGACTTTACCATTATTTGCATTTCATTTATCATATATTATTACTATATGTTATAATTTACAATTCCTTATGCCAAACATAGGTACGTATAGTAAAATAACATACCTTGGATTTCATTACGTTTTTTATATCACAATTTAACCTATTGACTATCTTTCCAGATTGAGTTTTAAATGAAATCTAGATATTAATACATGTTTTGCATAACTTCTTGATATGTCATCAATTTAAATTTTGAAATGTCTTATATCAAGCGGTTGCAAAGTTAAAATGTTTTGCAAGTCACGCAAGATAAATGTGCATGCATTACAAGTTTTGTTGTTGTTGTTTAAAAGATAATTAATAGCATGTCGTAAAAGAGGACCTGGTATAATTCCATCATAATTCATAACACTTGATGTAGTTATTACCTCTGATAAGTTCCGTAAATGAAATACAATAATAACTTATATATTAGCAAGGTTTATTTTTCAGCATCAAACAGCGACACAGCAACAAACAGTGACACTGTGTTTAAGTCACATGACTATGAGGTCTCTGGAAGAGTTCAAGGTATTTGTGAATAAATCGTTCGTAACATAGTAATGTAAATAGCTAAGTTATTTAGTATCAGTATATAGTTAATAAGATGACGAATAAAGGTAATAAAAATGTTTCTATAGATTACTCCTCTACATTTTTATTGGTTTCATAAAAAATGATTTTTTAAATATTTTCATAGCTTTTCGTTTTGTTTTTTTTTTTATTTGTATTGGTTTTGTTTTTTTGTTTGTTTGTTTTTTTCTTACAGTATCCGAGCATTAATATAGACATATTCGTCCAGACACTGGTTTTCATTGATGTGGTAATAGCAGTTAGCATAAGCAAAGATAAAGTCTCAACAACAACAATTATTTATTACTTTCAAAAAAGGTGTCACGTCAATTGAGTAGCAATTCGAATTATTTACAATAGACTACATTAAATCAACACACAAACTAATTGTGAATATGCATTCAGTTTCGTCTCTTTTTGTTAAATCTGATACTTTGATGTGTTTAGCACTTTTGTAAAATACCTAAAATATTATATAAAAGTACAATAAAACATTTGACTGTGTGTTGTCATTTCGAAGTCCACACAACTGAATTTATAACAAATACATGCAACAGACATGCATACTTATATATATATAATAATATCTCATTCATTTTATTAAGCCAAATCGCTTACATATTGCATGCTGCGCACAATCTTGTATAATGTTGACATTATATGATAAAAGCGATTTATTTATGTCTGTTATCAAAATTATACTGGTTATAATATGCATTTATAAGTTTTGACATACATTTTGTAAAACAATGTTTGCCATTTTTTGTGATACATGTATGATCAAAATATTAAGTTGAACTGTTTAAATACATTTTGTATGTTTTAAAGTTCAACAAAAAGAAAATGAATAAATGACAAAATTTAGCAAGTAAAGATTTCTAACATTAACACTGAGTATAATGTAAAACAAATGAGATGGAATACAAAAGAACGTGCCACAATTCTAAATTTAAAATAAAGAATCTTTTCAAACTAAGTTTGATTGAGCGATGTCGTCCTCAAAATATAGCCTCAATGCCCACTAGCACCATCTCAGGCTTAGCAGATGAAATTATGTTAAGTTTGTAATATCAAGAAATATGCTAGCTTATATGATGGTGTTATCAATTAAGCTTTAATGTCATTATTATTTGTTTTATATGATTTCTCCGTTTTATGATTGTTGCCGTAAATACTTCACGATGTTTAATTTTGTATAAATACATATTCTTACAATGTAATATTTTTGTATATTTGCCCATGTGTTATAATTGTTGAGTGACCGTGAACTTGTATATTTTAAACTTTTAACGCTGTGTATATTATGTCTGTACAATAATAAGATGTAAATAAAAATTACTGTTACTTTTACTACTGTAACATTCTGTGTTTAGTTACAGTCTTGATTTATCCTTTAAAGCGTATCAAACAATTACAGTGTTCTGCTTTACCCTTATAAGTTACATTGTCAGTGTGCGTAAGTAACACTTATCATGCCAAAAAGGCAATTTGTTTACATCCAATTGCTATATCTAATAGTCCAAACAGTCGTCCAATATAGTTTTTGTTTAAGACAATATAAGTTCCCAATTTATCCTTCAGCTAACACAGTTATCCTTCATTTAACTCCGTTCGCCTATTCCATGGACAGTCAAGGACGAAAGTATCAAATTATAAAATCTGAAAAGAGCGTTGAACACGTCTTATGAATTCGATACTAAATAACGTATCGCATTTGCACTAATTTGATGTACTGTGAATACATAATAATCAAATTATTTACCATTGATCTGTAATTTTGATTTATTTGTTTGTTCTTCTGCAAAGTAGCAAAAACAAAATTAAATTGAACTTGCCCGATATTTATTCAGTAATTTTTATACAAGCATGTACTTGCATACCGAGTCAACTTGACATGCGATAATTTTTAATTTGTTTCACTGACCGTCATTCCCCTTTTGATATTTAACACTGTAAAAATAAATGGATATACGGAATTCATATACGAGAAAAAACGATGAATTTGAAATACGGAGATCTACGGGACAGTATGAGAGTTCGAATATGATTAATGTACGGTGATCCATGCGGAAACTCTGTAGTTACTAAATTACGGACATTGTATAACAAGCGCGTGTATAACTAAAAACGAAATTCTTGAA